TTCTAAATTTCCTCCAAAAAAGAACAGATGAAATGACGGTAAAAAAGTGGGGCCGGTCACACATTCAGCTCAGTATTTTCAAAAATTGCTAACAATTTATATTGCAAAAGTACAATACTAAAGATGAGAGATTTTTGTCTTACATTCAAATTGTTTTAAAAAATTAGATCTTAAAAAACTAATTTAAAAAAAGTGTTTAAAAAAAACAAGTAGTTTTTGCGTAATTTCTTCTTGAATTTTAAAGCAATTTTATAAAAAAAGAAAATTTTTCTTAAAAATCGCTCCAATTGTCTTCTTTAGTTGTTTTTTTTTCATTTTTCATGTAGCAATGTATGGACAGTCTCATGTTGCAAAGAATGGTGAAAAGAGACCAAATTTTTTGGCAAACTCTGTATTTTTGAAAAATGCAAAAAATAATATTACAAAAGTGCAATATTGAAGATAGATATATTTGTCTTGAATGAAATCTGGTCTAAAAAAGCAGACTTTAAAAATTGCAAAATATAGAAATAAAGCTCAAAAGGATGAGTTGAGTAGCATCACTAGTTTTAGTTATAAGTTGCAGATCACTGAAAATGTACAAGGAAAATTTATTTTAAACCATATTTTTTTTTTTTTTTAAAAGCAATATTACATATTACAGTGTACCTATACTAAAATATTATTTTCTCTTCTCTAGAAAAAGATACCGAAAAGACACATTTAACAGATTCAACTTCAGCTTTATTCATCTGAAAATATGGCATTAAACAATTTCCCTCACTTTTAGAAATTATTCTGATTGTTTCAATGCAAGTAAAGTGAAATGAGAATATTAACTTGTAAATTAATATCATTTTATAACAATTTACTTTATAAAAATATAAAGATCATGATAAATGTTCTGGCTGTGATGGTGAAGTAATTAAATTAATTTCAATTTACTGCTAGAGAAGCCAGAGTAGATTATTCCAGATCTGTACAATTAATCTAGAGAGTTAAATATATAATTTAAAATGATTGTGTGGTAATATTTTAAAATTATAAGGTGTATTGCATTTTTGTGTGGTTCATTTATTTAAGGGTAAGGGTAAGAGTCCATGTAGAGTGTTTTTATTTCATCAATAATTTATTCTGGTATTCCTTCTTCTAATAATTTCCACAATTTAACCCTATTCACAATATTATAAGCCTTTTCAAAGTCTATAAATATCATATATATTGGTAAGTTTCTTCCATTTCTTTTGTCTAATACAATTTGTACTGTGAATATAGCATCCTTAGTGTTCCTGCCCTTTCTGAATCCACATTGCTCTTCACCCAGGAAGTTTTCACTGTACTCATTCATTCTATTCCTAAATACATTAGTAAATAATTTTGAGGTGGTTGGCAATAATGTTATCCCTCTGTAGTTGTTGCAGTATAGTTTTGTCCCTTTCTTACGTATATTTGTTACCAAATCTGTTTGCCATAGGGTTGGGAAAGATTCTCTATTCATATTTTGTTAAATAGTTCAATCAAAATCACTTTTAGTTCTTTACCTCTGTATTTACCTCTTGTTTTCAACGTTAATTTCATCTATTCCAAGGCTTTTTCTGTTTTTAACTTTTTTAGTACTTGTTCAAGTTCTTCTATTGTTATTTCTTCTATAGGTTGATTTTCCAAATCGGAGGTCATATTTACGTATGATGTGAGGTTGTCTTTGTTTCACAATTTTGTGTAGTGTTTTATCCACTCTGTCTCTCCACTTGTTACACTCTGTATGAACAAGTGTCATGTTCAAATATACTTGATTTTTAATAAATAATGTGTAACTATTCAGTAATAATTTTTTTAAATATTTAATTTATGGGGAAATATGGAAGGAGGAAGTTGAAAGAGGCATCAATATGAGACTTGACAAAAAAAAAAGAACATATTATTTGCAGATGGCCAGGCAATCCTGGCAAAATCAGAGGGTGACTTACAAAAAGCAGCACATACATTAAACATGATCATAAAAAGTTATAAAATGAGAACTCACAAAAACTAAACCAATGGGAATGATGTGCAAAGAATACCGGCCGCGGAAGCCTACGCTCTCAAGAATACAGTAGTATACAATTTAAAGATAATCAAATTATAGTACAAGTAGCAACTTTCACATACCTGGAAAACAAAATTTCATTACAAGAGGAAGACATAGACACAAAATTGGCAAAATACAACAAAATTAATGGATGCATTAAAAGACATTTTCAAAACATGAATACAGAAACAAAAATTAGACTGCATAGCATTGTATCCAAACCAATCCTATTATATGGTAGTAAAACTTGGGTATTAAGACAGAGACAAGCAAAGGATTGAAGCAGCCCAAATGAGATACTTAAAAGCAGTATTAAAGATCTCACGGAAAGATAGGATAAGAAATGATCACATAAGAAAGAGACTTAAAATAAAGAACATTACCCAGGAAATGGAGAACCCCCAAATAAAATAGTATAAACATGCACACACACACAAATTGGAAAGAAGGAACAGGCCAAGTGGCTTAAATCTCAAAATTTCATGATGATAATGAATTTATGGAGAAGGGTGATACCATTAGTTTTGCCCCGGTGGCACCAACTGAAGCTACAGCACTGAACAAAAGTATTATTAAATAATTAGATTTTACATGTATTGTTGTCTGTACAATAAAGGAATACAGCATGTTGAGAAAGGAAAATGGTGTATCAAAAGTAACATTACTACTTCAAAATGATATATAATGAAGAAACAAAAAAAAAATCTATAAATAAATGTTCAGTAGGGATGTTGAATGAAGCATGTTAAAAATTAAAAAATTAAAACTGTGTTAATTATTGTAAGCACAGGTTTTCAAATTGTGAAAATCTCGGTAGATTAATGACATATTGGTTTTTGTTCATAATGTACTACTTCTCCCCTATGTCACATATATAGTTTTTAACTTTTAATAAATAATTTATTCACAGTGACCTAAATTCAAGAAACTTATAAATATAAATAGTAAAAAAACAAACAAATACAAGTTGTGTGTATTGGTTTAAAATTATATATAATTCCCTAAAATTCCATTGTTAAATTGTTATTATTATTCATCATCACTGACACCATTGATTTAGGAATGGTATTCCTCTTGTAATGGTTAGAAAAAGGCAGGGGCCCAGGGAAAACCAGGGGCCTGAAACAGTAGACCCTTCATTTCAAGCAAAAAATTTCCTTTTTCCCTAATTCATTAACAGAATGGATTTCTCCATCAGAAATAACTTATAGTGTTGAATTTGGATTAGAGATAACTATATTTTTCATTTCTTTTGAATTAAAACAATTTTAGGGCCCCTATTAAGTCTGGGGTAAGTTGCTCGAGGTGCCACCCCTTCAGAATGACCCTGGAAAAAGATAGTATTCCCTCACATAGTGAAATGTGATTCCTCCTAGAGGTGCCATCTTCTTGTTGGTCTGAACCTGTTCCTTTTCTCACTAATTTAATGCCATCAATGTTAATCATTGTCTGTCCATTCTTTTTATGTCTTCTTCATTTTCTCTGGTATTTTTGATTTCTTCTTCTAAATTTTCAGTCTTCATTTCTTTTCTAATTTTTTTATTACAGATTTTTTCAGTTCTTTTACTTCTAAATTTACATTAAAAACTTAATCTGATAAAATCTTCAACTAGTTATAATAATATGGATAACTTTCCAAACATGGCATAAGAATCATCAATGAAATATTAAAAAGCCAATATTGTATGTTGCATCTATGTTGTCTGCAAAATCTATTTGTATGTTTTCGGAGGCTAAACCTTCAAGTTCATCAATCTTATTCTGGTTGCTATTCTGATTGATGAAATAAGGTTTTTTGAATTTCCATTAAAATGAAGAATTCACTATTTCCTGTTCGTAATAGGTATCAGAGGTCATCAAATTAAAATGAAGAGTGTCCAAAAATATTAATATTCATTATAAATTCCAGTATTTAATTTTACAGCTTATTTTTACTGAACATGATGGGAACTGTTTTTGATGATTCTTAAACTTCAACCATCTAAAACCATAGACATCCAATTACAATGCAACAGTTGTTTGCAAACCATTCAACAAAACAATTATTTTATTGTATCCATTTGAAACTCATTTGGAATTGTTTCACAACTAAGATACTATTGGTGTATTTGTAGTAAAAAAGAACAATGCCATGGAATAAACAAATTTTATTTGTTTTTAATAAATAGCATCATTGTTAAATAATATCATAGAATTATATGAATATTGTTTTCAGTCAGCAGCAGGGAAGAAAATGCTTATTGATCAAGTTCAGTGTTGTGATGTCGCCACTACCAACAAAATGATAAAAATGTGACCAATTTGCATTATTTTAACACATTTCTAGTAAATTTCTGCAAGTAGTGTTAGAAATTGGTACGTAATCTAATCTGTCAAGTAACATTATCCCAAAACAGAGAAATTCTGAAGTTACAGGTTATTAAATTTTAATAATCAATATTATCCATTATGCAAAGATCATTCATCATGGATGGCCGAGAGATAGATGCCTTTGGTGCAAGACTGTAAATGGAGGAATTGGGAATGATGGAACTTGGACATAATGTAATGTCTTTCCACCATCAATCTTGGATAGATCCACCCATCGGTAACCATCTTTTCACCATAGATATAGCTTCATGGAACGCATTGTGGTGGAAAGATCCTTGAAAAGACCTCTTTCGACCATGGAAAGCATCATCGACCATTCGAAACAGAGTAATTACGAATTACGAATATTAGAATTATTTTCAAGTTAGCAAATAATCGATACTCTGTCTCTATCGATCTTCCAGACTCTGGAAGTCGATAATTAATTCGAAAGCAAATTTCAGAGCAAACGTAGTTCAGCATTTCGTCAAAAGATAGTGGGAGTATCGTCTTCACTGGCTGATGTAAACACAAACGCCAAACCGACGCCTTTCCGACGCTGTGCACTGAGGCAAGGCAACTTTCGGCCGGTTGAAGGGGTGCGGGTCAGGTGAAGAACGGGCAGACTTCATTGCTTGCTCGTGGCAGTCGGTGTGCGTGGTACTGCTCCGTTATTTGCTGGGTCCGGCGTTCAAGTACCTTCTGCGCGGCGGGCGGCAGAATTTGGTTAGCTGAATTCACTTTCTGGATATAGTAAGTCAACAAATGACTTTTCTTTCTTTCTAGCAGTATTGTACCCAGGCTTTCCTCTTTAACTTTTCTTATTTTTCCTGTTTATTCCCCTTTACGAAACCAATTTTGAGTTGTGAAACGCATTGCGATGAATATGTCCATAGTGTCACACACTTGCATGGAGACATCAATGCACTATTAAGAAATAAAACCTAATGCCCCTTTTAGTGTAAATGGGTTGAAGGCTCGTTGGTAATCACGTTTTGAATTTTGTTCCTTTTTAATGCGAGTGAGAGAAAAAAATATTTTAAGTAGCATAGCACGATCTCGTTCTATTATAATTAATTTATTTTAAGTATAAAAAAAATCACGCAGCATATTTAACATCAATTAATTAACTTACTAACATTAATTAAAACAGCATTAAGAATATATTTTGTGAAACTCCTAATTGATAACGAGTGTGTAAAACCAAAGGAAAAACTATGGCTATTCATGAACTACCGGTACTAGATGGTTTTAACTTGATACGTGCATTTATGTTACTGTTGATATTACACTTTAAATTTGATTCTCAGTATTTTTAATGTAATGTACACTGAATTTAGTGTATATACAACATGAAGAAACGAAAATGTGTTGGTGTTGGGTTTCTTTTCTTTCTTTTTTACATTTTTTTCCCCTTCCCCCTCCGAAATACAAGTTATATTTTTCGAAATAGATTCCACCAACATAATGTTTGTACTCCCCTTTTAACCCTTTATTATCTCACCAGCTGGTATATTTTTTTAATAAACCTGGTTTCAAGTTCTGAAAAGGATGTTTCAAGCTAAATATTTACTTAGTAAAAAGTTTACTGAGTTCGATTTCTTAAGAATAGTACTTTTTGATTAATTTATTTCAAATCACCGAAATTTTTATTATGCTATTATTTGAAAAATTGGCGGTAAGTTGATTAAAATGATTAAACTTGTAAAAAAGCTTGTAAAAACTGTAAAAGTTCAAAATATTTATACTACGAGGATATATTGAAAATTAATAATGGTACATGACTGTGTCATATTTGCTGATTCTCTTAACTATTTTAGTACTTGTTTACTTCAATTTTCATTAAAGTAAGTAAATGCACTCTTCCCGTTTCGTCGTCATTCTTTTCTTCACACTTGTGCCATCACACAAAGGAGACAAGGTGTTTGTTGTCACACCTGGATTAAATGAAAACATCATATTTTCGTCAGAACGATAACTTTTTTTTCATCTTTGGGACTGCAGGTGACTGAAGTTGTCATTCAATCCTGTTGTCAACATTTACCGAAAATCTCCAACATGAATTCCCAACTCGCAGAAGATTGGAAAAAGACTACGTCGAAAAGTGAATATTGCATTATATAGATGATAAAAGTATGTTCAAAAAGAATTTTGAAAATCGGTTATCAAATAAAAAAAGTAACAGCCGTGGAAATATTACGTTTCAATCAAGTTTTGTAAATCCTTTGAGCGTTGTTGTAGACCTGTTTCTGAGTCAAAACACAGAAAAAATTATGCTGTTTTTACTTTCTCACTACGGAGTACAGAGAAAGTGATGTAATGTTTCGCGAAAAACGGCGAATTTTCGACAGAAAACTCTTATTACAGGGCCCTGGTAACGAAAAAGTTGATAAATCCAATGCTAAATTTAGGAGGCCGGAATTCTTTAACACATGGTGTATCCAGAATTCGTTTTGTGGGTCCTTGATACCTAAAAGTCGAATGACGCAAAAACGTTTGTCTGTCCGTCTGTCTGCCTGCTTGTCCGTCCCTCCGTCTGTCTGTCTACCCGTCCGTCCGTATGTCAGTCCGTCTGTCGGTCCGTCTGTCGGTCCGTCTGTCGGTCCGTCTGTCGGTCCGTCTGGTCGATCCGTCCGTCAGTCCGTCCGTCAGTCCGTCCGTCTGTCCGTCCGTCTGTCCGTCCGTCTGTTTCGCCCGTCTGTCCGTTCGTCTGTCCGTCCGTCTGTCTGTCCGTCCGTCTGTCCGTCCGTCTGTCTGTCTGTGTTTTAGAACCTGTCGAAATAAATGGTCGCTGACCTGAAACGACTGAGTAAGCAGGCCGGCGAAGAACTGGCTGAGAGAAACTGTTGAGTGACAATTTTTGGTTAAATATATACCCGATTGTCGATTTTTTATGTGAGTTTAGTTTAGTTTGTAATGGATTTCCTGCTGTTTCCGACAATGGAGATCATATCTGCTGACGTTAATTTATTGTAGTCAATTCTCTCTAGAATGACAGGCTTCAAAATATCGTTTTGCTATTCAAGATTGATTGTTTGTAATTTTTTTCAAGGAACGCCCGAAAAAATATTAATTTCTTCTGTCTGCTGGAAAAGGTACAGTTATATGTATTTCAATAGATAATTACTGTACTTCAATAATAATTAATTCTCAATAAATTAATACCCGCTCTTTTATTAGAATTATCAATTTCAATACTAATCGTTATAGTGATTTTTTTTTATTTCTTCTTGGCTGGCATTTTTGCTTTTCAAGGATGTTGATATATGGTTTACATTACATTATAGGAGTACCCGTATTCAGGTCTAAGTCACGTAATGTCGCTTCGGGCGTAAGAGCATTCAGAAACAAAGAATCAGCGAATGAGGCTGGAGTCAGTACTACTACGGCGTCATTGCCAACAATATTATTTAATGCAATAGCAGCTTTCGATGGCTTAGCCATCATCATCAGTTGTCTGCTGGGTGGAAGCCACAAAACGGCCAGTAGTCGGGGTGGTCGTTTTGTGGCTTCCACCTGTGGTCTTTAATTATTTTATGAAAAATGCCAAAGATATCACACCACAACACCTACACTACTACGGCGTTTAAAGCACGTGGATGAGCGGATTTTTTTAATGCAACATTTGGTATTTGTGTGAGCAACGGTTACGAAAAACAACATGTGGGCGTCTCTATGTACTTCGTAAACACAATGTTTTCCTGTGTCCAATGTGAATTCGAGAGTAGGTGCTGCAAGACTACATTCACGCAACGTTTAAAATGTTTTTGGGGCGAAGAAAAGGTCACGAACAACAACACCAACAACAACAACAACATTGCGCCATCTATGCAATTTAAACTCCTAATCAGCTTTAAAGTTGTTCTAAAAACTTCAAAAATTATAAATACAAAGTAACAAATAATAAACAATATTATAATCCCCTCTGTATATAATACTTCAAGAAAAGACGACGGTTTTGTGCAATTTATAAGCATCCATCCACACTAACCATAAATAAATATTTCTGGATATGACATTACCACCCATTCCTGCATTAAACAGAGAAGATGAAAAAGGTAGAAATCCGCAGATTTTGGCATATTTGGATTATGCAGCGCCCTTCCAACCCGGAAAACACATTAAGCCCCAGTGCACCTCACCATCGGGCATAACTTGGAAACGATGTGTTCTAGAGTCTTAAAAACAGTTTTCCTGTTCCACGGGGGCGCGAGTTATGTTTCTCGTGTCATATTCTACAAAGGGAGACATTTTGGACGTTATACTACATATTGAAAGGCTTCCTTATCCTGTAGAAAGTATTGCCAGAAGCGCGTTTGAAGTTAAATTCCAGTGTGAAGCTACTTTCAGTTTAAAAATAATGATTTATAAAGGGATATTTTTTGGAGATTGCAATTTTTTGTAGAAAGGTTTTGTGCCTCTCTATTACATGTATTTTTTGGGGGGGAGGGTTGCTATAACTAATACATTTATGTAATAATCGTGTTATTTTCGCTGTACGCTCTAGCTATTAAGAGCTTCCCGTTTCATTCGCCAGGGGAGCCACTACACTAACCGCCGCCGTAACATTTACTAAAATATTTCGAAATAAAAAACATTTAAATATAACTTTTTGTGATTTTAGATTAAATTGAATTTTTAAATTATTTTTTTTGTTTTTTTGTAGTTTAATTTCCAAATTAACATTTGGTAACATTTAGGAACATTTGGGGGAAGATGTGGGGAACACGTGGAATCATATGCTCTCGAACATGCGTCAGTCTTTTTTTTTCAGATGATATTTTCTTCGTTGTTCCGAAATACGTGTGTTTTTGAGTAATATCTACACATCGTTTGTGTTGACCTTTATAAATAGCCTTCATCTTCCAAGATGTCTAGTCAGTATTGAAAATTCACCAATGGCGGGATTCGAACCCTACTACTGCCCCTACCGTACCACTGCCCCACGAAATTCAAAGGGCAAATATGTTTCCGTTGAGCCATTGCAGTTGGTGCTGCTTCGAAGAAGTTCATAGATTTTTTGTGATTTATTTGTATTTATAGAATTGCTTTATCAAAAATGTTGTTTTTTCATAAACAAAATTTTTTTACGTCAAGAATATTGCAGTAAAGACAAAAGGGGTTCAGGTACATTGCGACTTAAAGAAACAACAGAGAAAGAACATATGAGAATTCCAGCTTGAGTTTGTCAACACTTTGTTTGCCTATACCAGCTGATTACCTGGCTTTGCTTGTGTCATGTACATCGTCCCCCCCCCCGGCTCCCGCCCCCCCCCCCCCGGGCGCGGTACAGACAGCTACTCTCAGATTTAGTTAGTTACTTTTGACGTTTGATCAGCTGGGACGCTGTTATCTAATAGAGAGCTTCAGTGCCAAAAAAAAGTCGTAACCGGAACCTCCGAATGGGTAACCTCGTCCAGCTGATCGACTGTCAAAAGTAATTATAATTAAATCGGTGTATATGGCAGTCGCCTCTACTGCACAATATTTCTGTATCTTCCAACGGTATCACATTGCTGTACTTTTATACTTTAAAAAGAATATCGTTCTTTTGCTTGTAATTTAAAATAGATGAGTAGAGAGAATTGAAGAGTAAACGTAACGAACAATTTATTTATTATTTAACGCTTAGGTTAATAAATTCACTCACATGGCAAGGTTTTGAAGAAATGTAGCGCCGGTTAAAACGAGTGTTCTAACGGGTTCACAATGTTCTAACGGCTGGTAAGATTCAAGTTGACTGTACTCGACAT